ATGACCATGAACGAAGCTTTCCGCCCGCTCTTAGATAAGTGCGTCATCGTATACCTGGACGACATACTGATCTACAGCCCTTACAGAGCACAGCACTTACAGGACATCGAAGCAGTTATTAAAATACTGAGTGAGAACCGCCTACTGACAAAAGCGTCTAAGTGTGAATTTTTAAAGGACCGCCTGGAATTTTTGGGACACGTTATTTCAGCTGCAGGAGTGGAAATAGACCCGAAGAAAATCGCGACGATTCAAGCATGGCACGCGCCGACCAACTTGACCGAGTTGCAGAGTTTTTTGGGGTTCGTCAACTACGTGCGCCGGTTCGTCCCCGACATGGCGAAGCTGACTGCCCCGCTGACAGACCTTCTGAGGAAGGGGGTTGAGTACACGTGGGGGGAGAAAGAGTAAGCTGCCTTCTCGGCCCTCAAAAACATTTTGTGCTCACCGCCCGTGCTTCACATCGCAGATCCACACCGTCCGTTCTGTCAGAGGTCCACTGGTGATCCCCGATTGATCCTAGGGAAGGGTTACAAGCACGTTGGCCTGGGGGGTTATGGGCGCACTGACCCGCTACTTAACAAGCCCTTTTATCCCAATGGTCTAGTGGTTGGGATTCTGACATAGTATCAGAGCGAAGGTCTCGGGTTCGAATCCCGGTGTATGCACTTCGGGCATCCCAGTGCGGGGGGGTGTCAGAGGTCCACTGGTGATCCCTGATTGATCCTAGGGAAGGGTTACAGGCACGTTGGCCTGGGGGGTTATGGGCGCACTGACCCGCTACTTAACAAGCCCTTTTATCCCAATGGTCTAGTGGTTGGGATTCTGACACGTTCGAGCTCGTCACTGAAGCAAGTGACATCGCTGTGGGAGCAGTACTATTGCAGGATTTCGGGAACGGCCTCCAGCAAATCGCGTACGAGTCCCGCAATCTGCACCCGCCCGAACGCAACTACTCGATACACGACCGCGAAATGTTGGCGATCGTGCACGCGTTCAAGGTTTGGCGGTGTTACCTGACGGGCGCCGACGTGACAGTACGGACAGACCACCGATCACTACAGTACCTACGCGCCCAACCAAATCTCAATCCGCGACAGATCCACTGGTTGGACTACCTCGAGTCCAACTTCCACTACACGGTTACGTACAAGAAAGGCGCCTCCAACATCGCCGACGCACTCACTCGCCCTACCGCCCAACTCCATGCCATCCTACTCGCCCAAACCAACCCGCTTTTAACAGGACTATTCATCCGCGGATACCGCACCGACCCGTTTTTCACGGCCGGAAATTCACAGCAACTGGCAGAAGCTAAAGGAGTTTATTACGTAAAAACAGGCACCAACCGCATCTGGGTACCCGCGTACTCACTACTGAGGGAGCTACTACTGCAGGAGGCACACGACGGAATTACCTCGGGACATTTTGGGGTAGAAAAAACGCGACACCAACTGCAGCGGTATTACTACTGGCCGGAGCTGTTGACCGACGTGCAGCAGCACGTGGGCTCGTGCCCCACGTGTCAGGTGATGAAGAGCTCACGGAAGCGGAAGGCGGGTCAATTGCAGCCGATACCACCGCCCGAGCGCGCCTAGCAGCAGGTTACCATGGACTTCGTCACAGGGTTACCTTCGAACCCTGGGGGTAACGACACGGTGATGGTCGTCGTTGACAGGTTGACGAAGATGGCACACTTCGCTGCGTGCAAGAAGTCGATCTCAGCCGAGGAGACCGCTCGTCTGTTCATCGCAGCCGTTGTTCGCCTGCACGGGATACCAGCAGCGATTATCAGCGACAGGGACACGAAGTTCACCAGCAACTTCTGGAAGAACCTCTGGGAGCAGTTTGGAACCAGGCTGCAGTTCAGTTCGTCGTACCACCCCGAGACCGACGGTCAAATAGAGCGGACGAATCAGACGATGGAGCAGTTGATTCGTGCCACGTGCGACGACCCCACGACCTGGGAGCAGCAGCTGCCGCTGATCGAGTTTGCGTACAATAACGCCACGTCAGCGACGACGCAGCAGTCCCCCTTCTACCTGAACTACAGGCAAAATCCTACAGTGCCCATGACGCCGAGTCCGGACAACCCAACACCACGCGCACAGCAATTCGCCGAAATTCTGCAAGCTGCCCGCACCAGAGCCGCAGAAGCAATTAAAAAAGCGAACGTCATCGCTAAGCGTAACGCTGACCGCCACCGCCGCCCAGTCACATACCAGTCAGGGGATTACGTACTGCTCGACACGCAAAATCTGCGACTGCCCGACGTACCAAAACTTCGACCGCGCTACTGTGGCCCATTCCAAATCAGCCACATGATCACGCCAGTAACCGCGCACCTACTCTTACCGACCGACTGGTACATCAGCCCTTCGTTCCACGTCAGCTTGCTTCGCCCATACATCCCAACCACAAGCCAACTGCCTCGCTACCGCCCGCCATCCATGACTCGCCCTGCATCAGAGCCGATCATCGAGCCCGAAAACATTCTGAGTCATCGGATTCGCCACCCCACGGGAATCAGGAGGATTGAATTCCTCGTTCGCTGGAAGGACCGCATGCCAACTGAAGATAGCTGGGTGCCTCTGGCCAACATTGAAAACCACCCTGCCCTGCAAGTGTACCTGAGGAGCCGGGGATTCCGCGATATACATGCACTCGCGTAGCGGAGGGGGCTTCTTGAGGGGGGGGGGGGTAGTGTAAGGAATTTTCTCGGCATTCCTTACGGAGCCCGACTACATCGCGTACAGCAATAGTCGTTGTTCGCCCGTTACTGCTAACGGGGCTTCGCCGACTTCGCGCGCACTGTTTCACCAAACCTCGCACTGCTGGCCTGGCCGTGTCGGCATACGCTTCGGGACTAGCCCGAGCCTCGCTCCAGCGTAGCACTAGCTAGTTCGCACGCACCGCGTTACCGTTTACATGTTTCGCATATAAATGTTCGCTCATGCCTTCGCTCGCATTTTGTACTCGTTTGACACCTTGGTGCAATTCTCGCTACTTCGATTCATTGCACCCGTAACAGCTTCTCAGAAAATACTGTACTGTACAGCTTCGCGCTTGTTACCTTCCTGACGACCGCTTCGCAAGCAGCGGATTGCCGTTTCGCTAGCCAGTCGGACAAACGAGGTCGGTGAGTGCAAGTCGGACGGCAGTTCTCGTTAATAACGACAATCTTCTTCAACTTATAAGAATACCACCCTATATTAACCTATATATGTGCTTTAATAACTCCCACCATAGTAGGACAAGATAATAGAAACTCGGTTGTTGGAAAAAAATGATAACAGGATCAGTCCGTATTGTGCTCCCATCGCCTAAAACCAGTTCCAGTTGATAATACTACAGGGTCTCGCTACAGCGAGACAACAGACCAGCTAGAGGGGAGGGGAGGGGGGAGCAATTTTCTGTCCGTACAGAAACGCACTGTTCAGTACCGACCGAACATACACAACCCGGATCCGGAAAGCCTTCACCTTGTGAAAAGGCAGTCCATCCGGGTGCTGGAGCGAACTTTTGCTTCCCAACTCCCCCTGCTGGAGGAACGGGTTTCCTCCAGCGTCGCCTAGCGGATACACCCCTCGTCGCCTTGCCCCGGAATCGGAAAGCCTTCGCCTTGTGAAAAGGCAGTTCAGCACGGCCTGGTTGGTCAGCCACCTTGCTTGCCACCCACTCTCCGACCTCCAGGCCGACCCCCGAGCCTCATTCTACATTTTGGCGGTGCGCGTCGGGGAAACTGGGGAGACTCCTCACACACCTGCAGCAAAAGTACCTTCACTCCTCACCAACAATTTTTCAGCAAATTTCGGGACTACGGAAAAAACTGTGGCCATTTCAGGTGCATGCAACTTAGTCGGGAAAAGCTGCTCAGGTGCATGCTATCCCGTCGTGTTTCTCCCTCTGTTGTTACTGTTTGTACACCTCTGCCATGACAATCACTGTTCTGTCAGGGGGTGCTACCCATGCGACTGACACCCACTGGCGCAGCTCTCGCACGAACTCGTCGTCCAACCACACCAGTCGCAGCCTTACTGCAAACAAGGTCAATACATATCGCAACACGCCTGACTAAAAACGGGAAAAAAACAAAAACCCAATTGGAAACGCATGCGACTCGGGAGGAATCAACCAGGGCGGTTCCCTTGTTTATAATTGATATCTTCCGAAAAAATGAGTCCAGGCTCCGTTTTTTTTTTTCCCACTGCCTACAGAACATCAACCCTAAACACCGGGACGGTTCCCATGTTTAGGGCTGATTTCCCGAACAATGTCCAGGTTCCCAAGGCATTGATTAATTTCCTTTTTGGGCTTCCCTGCCAGGCCGATTTTGTGTGTTGCGTGTGCTGCTTGTGTTGCGCGGGTTGCATCCCCTGACAGAACAGTGTTTTTAGTGGCAGATGTGTACAAACAAGAATAACAGAGGGAGAAACACGACGGGATAAAGTGCATGCACCTGAAAATGGCCGGAAAAACTGCTCGCTGCTTCGCTTCTGCCTCGGTACAGTATGTGGGCTCTTCTGGGTCGAGTTTTGGGTTGCCCCACCTGGACAACGAAGACCAATGGCCCGTCACACTCTCCTCACCGAGCCACGAAACGAATGCCCGCACTCAACAGCAGCAGCGCCAACCAACCAACCCCTGCCGCACTCACTTCAGTACAGTACAGTACAGAAGTACAGCAGAACTGTACTGAGAAAGGTGCATCCAATCCAACGTTTTTACTGCAACTCCGCAAGCACATCGGCTTGGCTTGGCACAGTGCCGTCAGTTTCACAAAACCAACAACCAGCCATTCACTAGCACTACTATCCTAGTTAGTTCTCATTACTCGCTCGCAGTATATATGTTCTTCTCCTTAGCCCGCTGAGGCCAGATGTCGTGGTACGTAACTTATTAATACTTACTATTTATACCAGCTCACGAATCACGATGCGTTTCTAATTGGCGCCTCAACTATCTAATCTTAACTCGCGCTAATCCGCTATTCCTTAAATATGGCATCATCATCGGCGTACATGCAGCGCCCCACCACCGGTGGCGGCGGCGGCCGCCACACGTCTGCGGGTGCCAACCGCCCGGCCACTAGCGGCGGGGGCAGGGAAAGTAGCGCGCGGGGTAGGGCGTCGACGGGTGCTCCGCGGAACAACCCCGCGCGGAACTGCCCATCCCCGCTGGACGTTATCGACGATGGCGGACACTTCTTCCCCTCTCCCCGCAATCGCCCCGCGGATACCTTTTCGACCGCCAGGCGCCACCTTTCCCCCTTCGACTCTCACCGCGGCGGGGGGCGGGTCGCCCGCAGCGGCGCCTCCGGCTGCTTAGATAGGTACTTGGGGGAAGACATGGCGGAGGCTGGTCTGGAGGCGCCCCAGAAACAGCGGTATCCGGGGAAAGGGATGGCGGAGATGGCGGAGGAATGGCCTCCGCGGAGCTCTGTGCGGCGCTCGATGCGGCGCGCGGGATCCATGGAGGTTTCCTCGCTGATGCGGCGCGCCAGTGATTTCGACCCCCCAACCTCCCGCGGCCTCGCCGCGAGTTATGGCACTCGCGCGGGGAAGGGGCGCGCTGAACAGGGGGAACACGGGGATGCGTGGAACGACGCGAGCAGCCGCAATGAGGGAGGAGAGCGGCAGGGGTTGCGGAGCGAGCGCGCGGACGGCGCGGGAAGAGCAAGGGTGTCGCGGGAGGGCGGGGAGGAGATGCGCGAAGGCGGAACGGGGCGGCGGAGCCACGCAGGCGTGGCGGCTGTAGATATTTACCGGGCGGAGGAGCAGGGGGAAGAGGAGGAGGCAGGCGATACGAGCTGCGACATGTCGCCGTATGCGACAGGCGACACCTTTGGCGAAATGTCGCTCTACTCTACGGGCGACACTAGCAGCTACAGGAGCAGCCGCCAATCGCGGTCCAGTCAGGAGTCCGACGAGGCGGACAGCGCCGCCTGGGGGGGGTGGGGCGCGCCGTGGGCGGAGGGCGCGGGCAGCGAGCGGGAGAAACCGCGGGTGGCGGAGCCGAGGTTCGCGGAGGCGGCGGGAGCGGGGGGGCGCGCGCGGAGGATGCGGCGGGCAGTGAGCAGCGTGGGGGGCGGGTCGTTTGGTAGCAGGGGGATGGGGAGAGAGGGGGGGGGCGCGTTACATGCGTCGTCCCCCCGGCGGCGCACAGCAGCAGGAGAAGCGGGAGGAAGGGGAGGAGCAGGAGCAGGAGCAGGAGCAGCAGGAGAAGGAGCATTTGAAAATGGTGGAGACATCGGCTCGAGAGCTAGGATTGGGAGGAGGAAGAGCGGTGTGCGGTGGGATATAGCGATCCGGGACGACGAAGAGGAGGGGGGGAAGGGGGAAGGGGAGGGGGAAGTGGAGCAGGGGAGGGCAAGGGGGAGGGGAGGGGGAAGGGAAAGGGAGGGGGATGGGGATGCAAGGAATGCGCGCAGAGGGCATGAGGCGGACGAGGAGGAGGACGAGCGCGCGTCTCGTTCCCCCCACTCGTGCAGCAGCGGCAGCTACCTGCGCTCGCCCACGGGCAGCGCGGAGACGAGCGGGTCCGCCACTCCCCGCGCCGCAAGCGCGCGCGCCGGCGGCGCCAATCGCGCAGGCGCGAGAACGGGCACGGCAACGGGCGGAAATGGTAGAGTTACGGGGGGGACAGGCGGTGAGGGTGTAGGCACGAGTTGGATGCAACGGAGTGAGAGTAGTGAGAGTGGGAGTGGGGCGACGCGGAGAGAGAGTGAGAGGAGAATGAGTGGCGGCAGTGAGAGAGGCGCGCGGAGGGGAGCAGAGGGGGGGGTGGAGGAAGGGGAGGAGGACGGGCCGGAAGAAGAGGAGGGGTACGGAAGAGAAGATGAGCGGCAGGAAGGAGGAGGAGGGGACAGCACGTTGCTAGGGCTGCGGTCGCCACAGGGGCATGTACTGCCAGGCATGGTGCTGCGCCCCGCGTCCCTCGCTCTCCCTGCTGCACCTGCAGCAGAGACGCCTGGTGGAAAAACACCTCAACAGCACAAGCTGCAGCAGCAGCCATTGGCGTTTGATTTGAGTCAAAAGGTACCGATATGGGGGCGGGGACATGGGGAGGAAGAGGGGAGCCGCGGAGGCGGGTTGGCGGAGGAGAGGGGGAAAGGGGGGAGGAGGTCAGAGGAGGAAAGGCGGAATGGGGAGCAGATGGGGGAGGAGTGGCTTGGGGGTGGTGTGCATGGGATGATGATGCTGCCTGGGCGGGGGATGGGCCGGGGGCGGCTGTCTCGGGGTTTATCCATGTCAGCATGTGCGCTGCGGCGGTTGCAGGAGGATGGGAGTGAGAGAACCAGCAACTGCGATAGTGGCAGTGACAGTGACTGTAACGGGGGAGGCTATAGTGGTGGAGTGAGCACAGGGAGCGTGAATGTGAAGCACACTGGTGGAGGGCCAGGGCAGCAGCACGGAATGGAAGGGGGATTGCGAGGCGGGGAGGTTGGAGGGGGACTGGGGAGGGGAGGCGGGAGGGGGAGGGGGTCGGGCGGCGGAAGTGGGCGGGGGATGCGGACGGCGTCGCAGCACGGGCGGCACAGCAGCATGTCTTGGGCGGCAGAGGCGGCCATTCAGGCAGCGATGGGCGTGGGGGGGGGTGTGGGCGTGGGAGAGAGGCTGGGGAACGGGGGGAGACTGGCTCGTAGGGACTCCATGCCTCTGCTGGCGCTGGCACATGTGGAGGCGCATGAGGGGGAAGGGGGAAGGGGAAGCGGAGGCGGAGGCGGAGGGGGAGGGGGAGGGGTTGGGGGATTGGTAGGGGGAGGGGGAGGGGGAGGGGGAGGGGGAGGGGGAGGGGGAGGGAGACTGGGAAGCCGAGTGGTGCAAGGGGAGAAGGATGATGCGTGTGATGGGGAGGCGAGGAGGGTGAGCGGAGGAGGGTCGCGCTCCCCTCATGTGAGCCGGAATAGCACTGCTGATACCACTGCGACTGCTGAAACAGCTGATACTGCCACAAGCCATGGCAGCAGCAGCAACGGTGGGCCCCGAAACAGCGTTGCTCTGCCCTCAACCCAACAGCGCCAGCAGCAGCAGCTATCTCCTCTCTCACTCACTCCCCGCCTCCCCCACCTATCCCCTCCCCTTCGCCAGCAGTCCTGCGTCGTCCTTCTCGACTCAGACCCCTCCGCCTCCTCCTCCTCTCCCCCCTCCGCCTCCTCTCCTCTCCGCCCCCCTGCGCGCACTGTCTCCCGCGCAATGGACGCATGCCAGGCTGCGGGGATAGGCGCGGGAGGAATGGTGCCCAGCAGTAACAGTAGGAGCGGTGGGGGCGCGGGGGGCGTGGCAGAGCGCATGGCAGGGCGCCTGGCATCTACGCTGTCGGGGAAATTGATGGGGCTGGCGCGACTGGGGAGTGGGGTGCTGCTGGGGGATGGGCGTGGGGGGAAAGGGATGAAGGTGGGCGGGGGGAGTGGCGGAGGAAAGCACGAAGGTGACGCTGCTGCTGCTGCTGCTTCTGCTGTTGGTGCTGGTGGCACTGGCACTAATGGCGTGGTTGATTCTGGTAACTCTGTTCCCGCGGTCCCAACTGCGCGAGTAGCTTCCTCAGTATCATCACCACTCTCATCATCACCAGCAGCAGCAGACGCAGCAGCAGCAGCAGCAGCAGCAGCAGCACTGGGAGGGGAAGCAGGGGCAAGGGAGCACAGTCACCTCCGCCCTGCGCCCTCCGACGCTGCTGCTTCCCGCCCCCGCACTGCCGGCTTTCGCTCTGCCTCCATCGCAGGCCCTTCCCGACCCGACGCGTCAGCAGCAGGGGGGAGCTTTGCGGAGCTTCTGGGGGGAAGCAGGGCAGAGAAGGGGCTGGGGAGGGGGCGGCTGCGGTCGTCTGGGGGGAGTGGGATGTGGGCGGAGTGGCACTCCTCCTCCCGTGGCCCCGGTAGCTTTCTCGGCGGCGGCTTGCTGATTGGGAAAGCTGTGGGCCAATCGCGGCCTGCCACGGCAGCAGCCCGGGTGTTGAGGTCTCCGACTGGTGGTGGAAGCAGCAGCAGTGGCGGTGGTGGTGGTGGTGGTGATGGGGTTGTCTCTTTTGAGAATTCTAAAAAAGGTGCGGGGAGGGAGCTAGGGGGGGAGGAGGGGCGGAAGGGAGGGTTGGTGCGAGCGGCGGAAGGCAGTGGGAAGCAGCCTAGGTATGTGTGCCTTGCGCCTAGTGAGGATAGCGAGGAGAGTGAGGAGGGGAGCGAGGAGGGGAGTGAGAGAGGGAGTGAGCAGGGGAGTGAGAAGGTTGGTGAGAAGGGGATGGAGAGGGGGAATGAGAGGGTTGGTGATAGGGGGAGTGAGAGGAATAGTGAGAGGGGGAGTGAGAAGGGGAGTGTGAGGGGGAGTGAGATGGGGAGTGAGAGGGAGAGAAGAGTGGACTTGTATGAGGATGACCGTGCTTCTGTGGCAAGTAGTGATCGGACAGGGAAGGGAGCGCAGGTGGGTGGTGGTCAAGGAAGCAGCGGCAAGGGGTACCAGTATGAAGGGGAGCAAGGGGAGTTGTATGGTGGCAATGGCATGGGGCGGGGAGTTGATGGGATGGGCGGGAGTGGTGCAGGAGAGAGCGGGCAAGGCAGTGTGGGACGGGGTAGGAAGGGCGTGGATGAGGGACAATGGGCGGGCTCGCATCTTGACATCCACACCGCACATCATGAGACCCACCACTCCCATCATGAGGCTCACCCCTCGCATCACGAGAAGAGCCACCACTTGCAAGAAGCGAACAGGGGTTTTCCGGCTGAGGTGGTGTGGGCTGATAGTGCGCTTCGTGGCATTGACGATGCTCTGTGGGTTGATCCTGATAGCAAGAGCCAAGGGCAAGGAGCTTGGGAGGAGGAGGAGGTGAATGCGGAGGAGGGGCAAGGAGGGGAAGAGGAGGAGGAAGAGGAGGAGGAAGAGGAGGAGGAAGAGGAGGAGGAAGAGGAGGAGGAAGAGGAGGAGGAGGAGGAGGAAGAGGAGGAGGAAGAGGAGGAAGAGGAGGAGGAAGAGGAGGAGGGAGAGAAGGAATTAATAAGTGCGAGGGAGCGTAGGGTGAGTCCATTTGTGGAAGATGAGGTGAGGGGAGGGTGGAGAGAGGAAGGGAGGTGCGGTAGAGGGGAGGTGGAGGAGGATGACGAGGGAGAGGGAGAGGAGGGAGAGGAGGTAGTTGCGAAAGGAAGGGATTCCTGGGAGTCTTGGAAGGGTAGGAACGGGAGTGAGAGGCATGGAGGGAAGGGCAGGCAGGGCAGCGACTGTGTAGCCCGTCAGGAGGAGGACCTTTATGGGGATAGATGCGCTGGTGGTGCGGAGGAGGAGGAAGAGGAGGAGGATGATGATGATGGGTGGTGGCGGGATGGCAGGCGGAGAGACGACAGGAGACGAGAGGAGGCGATGGAGGAGGAGAGGAGACGGGGGGAGCGAAGGAGGGAGGAGGGGAGGAGACGGGAGGAGGAGAAGAGAAGAGAGGAGGAGAGGAGAAGAGATGAGGAGAGGAGAAGAGAGGAGGAGAGGAGGAGAGAGGAGGAGAGGAGAAGAGAGGAGGAGAGGAGAAGAGACGAAGAGAGGAGAAGAGAGGAGGAGAGGCGGAGAGAGGAGGAGAGGATTCGAGAGCAGGTGCGAGCAGAGGAAAGGCAGAAGGTCCTGGAGGAGTTAGAGCGGGAGAGGGAGCAGCGGAGGAGGGCGGAGGGGGAGCTACGGAGGCTGGAGCAGGAGAGGAGGGAGCAAGAGGAGCGCATGCGGGCAATCAAGGAGAAGCGGCGAGCAGCCAAGCAGAGGCTAAGGGTTGATGTAGCCGGGCTGCGCACCCCCACATCCGCCTTTTCCTCCACTTCCTCCTCTTCTTGCTCCTCCGCCACCTCCTCCCCGGGTTTCTCCCCTCTCATGTCCTGCCCTGTGAGGTCTCCCTCCCCTCTGTCCGCCTCCCCGCTTTCTGCCTCCCCCCTGTCTGCGTCCCCTCTCTCCTCCTCCTCTCCCTTCCGCAAGACAGCACGGAGCAGCAGGATGGAGCAGCAGCGAGCGGAGGCGAGAGGGGGAGTGGGACACTGTGAGGTGCCGGCCCGAACTGGCGTGGCTGCGTGGGCTGATGCTGTGGATGCTGGGGGGAAGTGGCCCGGGGGTGGAGATGCGAGGAGGAGAGAGGAAGCGGGTGAGGCCGAGGGAGAGGGTGCGGGAGAGGGGAGGTGGGGGATGCAGGGGGGGAGCATGCGACCAGTGACTCCAGAGCCAATGAGAGCACGACTGACACGGAAGAACCGAGAGGTGATTCGGCCCAGCAAGGCCAAGAAGAAAAAGAGGGAGAAGGTGAAGGGGAAGGGGAAGGAGAGGGATGAGACGGATAAGGAGGGGGAGCAGGGAACGGAAAGGGAGGAGGAGGAGGAGGTGGAGGGGAGGGGAAAGGCTGGGAGGAGAGCTGGTGATGTGGCGGGGGAGAGGGCTGTGTGGAGTGAGATGCGGCAGAGAGAGGCAGCGGAGGATCGGGAGGGCACTGGATTCGGTTGGGATGGGAAGAAGGGAGCCGGAAAGGGGAGACACGGAGAGGAGGAAGCGGAGGAGGACGAGGTAGAAGGGGGGGAGAAGGAGGAGGAAGACGATGAGGAGGAGGAAGGGGAGGAGGAGTGTGAAGGCGGCGAGTTGCAACTGGAGCCGGACGGAACCTTGAACATTCTCCAGCGGCCGTTTGTGCCAGTTGCAGACAGCTACTGGCTGGACCGCAGCGAGCTGGGGCGCGGCAGGTTCGGCATCATCCGGCTGTGCCTGTGCCGCAGGACCGGCGGGAGGTTCGCGTGTAAGACGATCAGCAAGGAGCTGCTGACGTGCCAGCAGGATGTGGAGGACGTGCGGAGAGAGGTGGCGGTGATGGGACTGTTGCACGGCCACCCGCACGTTGCTGCGCTCATTGACACGTTTGAGGACGACCAGGTGAGTTGACTTTTGGGGCGCCTCAATCGAAAGCCAGCAGGATGTGGAGGATGTGCGGAGGGAGGTGGCGGTCATGGGGTTGATGCATGGCCACCCGCATGTGGCGGCGCTCATTGACACGTTTGAGGATGAACAGGTGGGTCTCTCCCCCCTCCCCCCCTCCCCCCCTTCTCTTCCCCATACCCCTTAAAACCCCTCCAGGAGGCGGTGGTCATGGGGCCCATCCCATCCATGTGCGCAAGCACCTATGGCCTTGCTCATTCACATGTTTGCATCTTGACACCTCTCGCTGTCCTGTCGTACCTTCAACCCTTCTTCCCGCCCCTCTCTCCCCCATCCCTTCCACCTCCCCCCCCCCCCGCCCCCCCCCCCCCCCCCCCCTCGCAGCACGTGCATCTGGTGATGGAGCTGTGCGCGGGGGGGGGAGCTGTTCGACCGCATCAAGGCCAAGGGGCGCATGACTTCTCAGCTTTTGCGTGGGCACAACAAGCAAGCACACATCCTTGTGCTCATTCACAAGTTGACACCTTCACACACCTCTCCCTGTCCTGTGTGACTCCTCCTGTCCCCTTCCTCCCGCCGCTTCTCCCGCCCCTCTTCCCCATCCCATCCTCCCCTCTTCGCCCTCCTCCCCCCCCATCACAGCACGTGCATCTGGTGATGGAGCTGTGTGCGGGGGGAGAGCTGTTCGACCGCATCAAGGCCAAGGGGCGCTACTCGGAGCCGCAGGCAGCGGCCGTGGTGGCCACGGTGGCGCGCGTGCTGCAGCAGTGCCATGCGGCGGGCGTGATCCACCGCGATGTGAAGCCCGAGAACATCCTGTTGTGCACCAAGCAGAGCGACACTGATGTGAAGCTCATTGACTTTGGTGTCGCCACCTTCTTCCAGCCAGGTGAGGGAGGGGAGGGGGGATGAAGGGACGGGAGATGTGGGGTACAGAGATAGCTGGAGGCAGGGGAAAGGCACAGGGGAGGCAGTGGGGAAGGCTTGGAGAAGGGCACTGGGGAGGGGGCAGAGAGGTTAAGGCGGGGTGAGGCAGCGTGCAGCAGTGCCATGCGGCGGGCGTGATTCACCGCGATGTGAAGCCCGAGAACATCCTGCTGTGCACCAAGCAGAGCGACACTGATGTGAAGCTCATTGACTTTCGTGTCGCCACCTTCTTCCAGCCAGGTAAGGCGGGGGCGCTGGGGGAGGTGTGAAAAGACGGTAGGTAGGAGGCTTGGGAGGAGGCACGGTGGGAGGCGTGGGGAAAGGCTCGGGAAGAGGCACATGGGGATGGGGGAGGCATGGGGGAGGCATGGGGGAGGCATGGGGGAGGCATGGGGGAGGCATGGGGGAGGCATGGGGGAGGCATGGGGGAGGCATGGGGGAGGCTTACGGGGAGGCACGGACATTGCAGGCAGCCCTTACTACCGGACTCTCAGAGATCCGCGCTGAGATACACGGCCGAATGCAAACCTACTTTCATTCCTACTTGCGATTCCCCTCCTCAACCCCTCCAGGTGTTCCGTGCACGGACATGGCAGGCAGCCCGTATTACCTGGCCCGTATCACTCTCTCGCTTATTCTTCCCCCTCCTGCTTGTTCTCCCCACCTCTTCCCACCCACGTTCCCCCCCCACGTCCAGGTGTGCCCTGCACGGACATGGCAGGCAGCCCGTATTACCTCGCACCAGAGGTTCTCGCAGAGAGCTACGGGCCCGAAGCAGACGTGTGGAGCACGGGAGTGGTGCTGTACATCCTGCTCTCTGGCCTTCCTCCCTTCTGGGCGCCTAACAACGAGGCCATCTTCCAAGCCATCAAGGCCGCCCCCGTGAACCTCGTGCGCCCGCCGTGGCCGTCGGTGTCCGGCGAGGTGCGGGACCTGGTGCGGCGCATGCTGGAGAAACGGCCGGAAGACCGGATCACGCTCGCGGAGGTGCTGGGTGAGTGTGTGTCTACACGCGTGGGGGATGTCGTCTTGAGCTGGGCTGGGCGGCATTGGTTTCCATTGGGTTGCACTGGGTTCCACGGGGGTGACTTGCGAAACACTGCAAGGGAATGAGTGCGTTTGGCGACTCCTCTTGGACCGTGGCCATATACTGATTGCTTCGTGCCGGTACCGTATTTCTTTCCTTGGTGTGCAGAACACCCGTGGATTTTACGGCACACACGAGCCTCTGCGCCTAGTGAGGGCAGCATGTAGCAGGGCGCACATGGCACAGATATGCGCACTGAACCGAGTACTGACCACCAACCACCTAGCATAGCTTTGGGGAGACTAACCTTGTAGCTGTTAATACTTACCGGTACCGCTGGTACGATCCATTTTGTCTGCCTGTATTACCTGAAGCTGTAGAAGTTTTGTTTCTGGTCTTGTGCAATGACCTGTGAGTCCCTATTATTTTTTTTTAGCTTATTTGAAAACATATGCAATACATTCAAGATTGATTCCCTCCAAAATATTATGCATCTGTTTCTCAGATATCTAAGTTTACACAAACCATACGGTGCTAGAAAGGTCATACTCGCCCATGCCGCACACACCGTCCCTCCTTCCCATACATCCCTACCCCTAGTCCCATGCCTTCAACCAGTGATGCCAGCTTCTCTCAACACTGACTTTCAAGTCTCAATAAAGCAGACCCAACAGCGGCCTCGGTCACTCCGCACCGCAGCAGCCGCATGCCTGCCTGCCTGCCTGTCTGTCGTTTCAGGGCCACAGGACACTCCTCTTGATGGAATTG